ACGGCGACAAGCACGATAAATCGTCCTGGCAGAGATTCAGAAGATTCGACCACCTCGAGGTCAGCTTCAGCACAAGCCAGAGACATGTGGTCTAAAGCTGCCATGCCAAGTCTCGTAGCTGCGAGGAGCTGCGGAGGCGAGGTAGCACGTCAGGTCGCCACGCAAGAGTGGTCGTGCTTGCGTCGCAATAGCAAAAGCTTCGGCCGGCGAAGGCTCGTGGATTTGGAGTCACTGAGCCCGATCAGAAAGTACACCCCGGCAGCATCTAGCCCTGCGTCTGCAAGTGGCCTAGCGGGCTTGCCACACTTTACGCTGTACACAGGCACAGGCTGCAGCTTGTGCGATGTTGTCAAGGACCAACTGAAACGTCTCTCGGCTCAGGTGAGAGATCTAGTCTCGAGAGGCCAAAGACAGCTTCGTGTTGATGCTTATCGCCGTGCTTCAAATTGCAACCACAATCCAGCATCCACACGTTCTGAGGCTGTACAACATTCGTGATGATGGGAGCGTCAACGTCAAGTACTGGAGGAGACTGTATCAATACGGTGAGCAAGCGGAAAGTTGCACAAAGATCACTTGGGTTGGTGCGTGGATGTGCTTCTGTTTCTAACGTCTGCGCCTTGCCCACTCCGCAGACATTCCTGTTCTGCACCTTGAGGGCCAAGGTGAGCGCTCAGGCTGACTGAAAGCAGCGCTCAAATTGCTTCCTCTGACAGCAGTACTGCCCCGCATACTTTGCGCTGCCAACAGAGGTAGCGCGGCACTCCGTATCCGATGAGAAGTTGTTGGAGATTCTCACACAGGCAAAGGCAGGCCGTTACTCGGAGACACAGGAGACTTTTAGAGAAGAGCGGCTCCGTAACAGTCGTGATCATTCTTTCTGAGCGTCGCTGTTCGCGAAACCTCTCCGGCCTGTCGGCAGACACTGGCACTTGGCTTCTGATGCGAGTATCAAAGTGCTTCAAGGACATCATGGGCAGGACTGTGCGCCAGTGCATGCGCTATATTTGCGGTGACTGCGTTGCAATTAAACAATTCGAGGATACCAACACCCAGGCAAAATTCCGAACGTCATGTGCGCCTCAATCCGTCGGATTTGTCCCTGCTACCTCGGATCCAGGAGGTGCTTCTTTGACTTTGCGAGCTACCCAAAATTCTGGGGTGTACTCGTATGACAACATGCTCCTGGCGTTGCCAGTGTAAGGTTGACTCTCCAGGGTCCGATGCTCCTGTAGCACATCATTGGAGCGCAAGATTGAGGAACATCCGTACAAGAGTGGCAAGCATCACCGCCGGATCACACTCACCTCTATTTCAAAGCCCATAAGCTGAATGAGGTCCATCACCTCCTCAAGGGTCAACTCGATGCTAAGGTCTCCGTTATTTTCAAAGTGCCAAAGTAGGGGCCCGACGTTGCACCAAAATCCCCCGATAGGGAGCAGATGGTTGATGACTTCAAGATACTTGACAATATTTCGCGCGGTATCAACAAAGTAGACGGTCGCAACTGCATCCCAGCCACCTATTTCCTGCTCTTTGGAATACACGTCAACGAACTCGCCTGCAACCATACTGAAGTCTACATGAGGTGGTAGATCAGTTGGGTTGACATCCGGAATCCTGATCCCTTGGAGCATGTCCGAGGCCTTTCTCCAATTAGATGATGAGTGCACATACGGGTAGACAGTGTGAGCGTGCCTGCCGCTCGACTTATTGAGTATCCAATGCGATGCGAGGAGCATGAAAAACGAGTACTCGTTTCCCTGAGAGCTGTAGCCCTGCCAGGCAATTTCGAACGCCAAGCGTCCCAAGCCTGCGCCTGGCACCAGCACCCTGACCTGGTTACGCGACGTACTGGGCACCTCTCCAAACCGGGCGTCGAGAGCGTCCAGAATGGGTCCATAGGCCGCTTCACGCTCTTGTGCGCCCTCGTCGCTCCAATCCCTCACAAGCTGCTTGATGGTGCTGCGTATTTTGTCAATCTCATGCTCGGACGTCCGACTGGAAGCTCCTCTGCTGCTAGGGCGCTGCCGAGACTTTTCTGCGCCTTCTCTGGAGAAAGACGCCGCGGAAGGATCATCCCTGAGAGACCCTGAGGATCCGGACGAGCCTTCCGCACTTCCTACATTGCTGCGCCCAGATGTACTGTCGATGCTCGTGCCCAAATTGGTGTGCCTTGGAGCATCGAGAGGGGTGCGTCGTCTTTGGCGTTTTAACGCTTGTTCTTCTGCAGGCCGAAGGCTGCTACTAGAGGATCCTTCACTCTGTGGCACAGTCCTCACAATGTCGCGAGGCACGGCAGCCCCGGGCGGATCAGCAGTTTGGAGTTTCAGGGCAGCATCGCCTTGCGGCTCAACATGACCTTGCGCCGATTTTTCTACGGAAGCGGCAGCGGCTGAGGTCTTCTCGCTGACTGCGCTCGCATTAGCCTCTGCGCCATCAGCACGAGCATCATCCAAAAATCCACGCGAATCTTCCACAATCAAGCTCAGCACGTCCGCATTTCTCCGTATCCTATCGTCGATCTCATCCAGTCGAGATTTGAATCCGCGGCCGCCGGGAGGCAGAGTCTGGCGCTCGTGGCCCGCTGACTCTTGTGCTCTGCCTCCTCTGACTGCACTGTCAGCATCGTGGACCGAAGAATCATGTCCCTCCTCGTTCTCCATCTCAACGAGGGGTCCAGGAAGCTCTGGGCCGACCTGGGAAAGAAGCAAGCGGTGCGAACGCGCCAAAGAGTAGAACGACTTTCGCCTTGCGTTGTTCGCCGCCAACTGCAACACGACAGCAAGAGCGTCGAGCGTCATCAGTTCGCCAGTCGTATGCTAGATATGCACCAGGCACCTGTGCTCACAGAGTGGGGCAGGTACGCGTTGAAGGCGCGGAGCACATTCTGAAAATGAGCCCGCTCCTTCTCCTCCTCGTTACCATTGCTGCTTCCTAGACTGTTCCGGCCGTGCTCCAGTGCATGCTCAGATTCGTGCGAGCGCGAAGGCCCAGCAACAGGGTGCTGGTCCGCGTGTGCTGTGGTCATGTTTCCCAGACCAGACGCTCCGCGGGGGGGAAGGCGCGTGGCGCGAGATGTCAGTTCTTCAGGCTCTGCACTGAAAGAACGTCGCGCGCTGTCGGACGTAGCGGACCAAGATGCAAGCCGAGAAAGGGGGAGCGGCAAGGGCAAGGGCAAGACTCCAGTGGGAGGAGAAATCGCAACCTCAGAGAACCGGGCAGACGTCGATGATGCGGCAGTGTCAGTTGAAGAAGTCGATGTGTTCGAGATACGCCGCGCGTCCAGCCGATCGAAATTTGCCGGGATGGCAGCGACAGCACCGGATGGAGCTAGCGGCAGATTGTTCGGGGTCCCCAAGTCATCCAAGGGAAAAGGATACCATGGTCGGTAGGCAGCGAGGCGAGAACGCAGCGATGCCGGATCCAACGGAGGTCCAATCGCCGCGAGCGCCATTTCGCGTACGGATCGGAAAGCAGGTTTGGAAGGCGCATGTTCGGGTCCGGTAGATCCACGAGGGTACAGAGGAGTGGGCGGGGGAGTCCCATGTGGGTTGGAGGGCGTCGGCGTTGTCGAGCGAGCGGGGTGACGAGCAGTGCCCAAAGGGCGGATTGGTCGCGATACGCGTTCGTCATCATCGTTCAACGTTCGATCAGTTGGCAATCGCCCATCCGGCGTTGGAGGAGACATGGCGGATGAGAGGCACGATTCCAATCACGGTAGTATCCGGGACATGTCGCCAGGTCGAGAAGAGCGTTTCCGCCCGCGAGCACGAGTGAACAGGAGCGCGCGCTCGTCAGCAACACTACGCTCGCGAACGCACAGCTGAACAGCTTCTTGAGGCGAGGTATCGAGAGGAAAGCAGCGGGTTTCGGGCAGTGACAAGGAACTCAACGTGCGAGCGAGGTGTGAGAAAGAGAAGGGAGCGAGGGTCGATGTGCACGTAAATCCACCTCTGCATCCGCCGGGGGAGAATGGATGTCGGAAGGCAGAAGGATGAAATCGCCGATGGAAGGCTTACAGCAGAAGATGAGGGAATAGCTAGTGTGGCACGTAACTAGCTCCGTCTCTGCTATGCGTACGGTTCAGCGCAAGGGAGCACAGTGGACATGACGGAAGCGAGTGACGAAGCAAGAGCATCGCCGATGGATCTGTGCCACCTTGGACTTGTAAAAAATAATGGCACGCAGCCTTGAGATTCGCCGTGCATGCAAGCCACAGAGCAACATGCTCCTCACTTTTGCATAGCGTCACCGTACGCTCCAAGCAGCAGCGGCGAGTTTCTGGGCCTTGCGTTTGTTTGCATGCCGGTCTAGCCCTGCTGTCCCGCCTTATTGACCTGAAACGCTTGTCCCTCCATCCTGAACGGCAAAGCCATGCAGGGCCGAAGACCACGCAAATGCACCGTTCGAGGCAAGCGACACAGCACTCACGACTCACGACTACTACTGTGCAGAAGCTCTATAACGGTACTCGGTACGCTAAAATCACTCACATGAGATTCGCCTCTCTGCCGATGCACCTTGTTTGGGTGAGTCTGCTCGAGCTGGTCGCCGACCACTCACACTGCAGCCTATAGAACCAGAAGTGGCTGCACCTTGTGGATGCACCTTAGTCACCGCCGATCATGCATGCAGCATGGACCAAGTGTCTCCGGAGTCTGCGCCGTCACAGCTTCAGGTTGCTCTTTGATGACCTTCCGCTTTCACTACTGAAGCAAGTCGACTTCACGTCGGCGTGCAGCGCGGCGAGGCGCTGCGAGGCAGAAGAGGAAGCGCAGTTCCGGGCGGGAGGCCTTAGTGTGCGCTTTTTGGTCGCAAGGGCGGCCAGGCAGAGCTCGTGCGCCAGCCTACAACGGTCGGGCAACTTGCTGCACCGAAGCTGTATACAGAGCACTCAAGAATACCTCTGGTTTGCAATCTCGCTTGAGAAGCGGGCGAGGGAGACGTCGAAAGTGCTGCAGTGCGTGAACTGCTCGAGGGAGAGATAAGGGTGTAATGCGCTTCCGTTCGTGATTCGCAGAAGTGCTGATAAGGATTTCGATGACCAGCCAGCTGTCCGCGGACTTGAATTTCATTCACACGCGCCGAAAGGTGCACGGACCTCACCCAGTCAAAGATCTACACGTGATCTGGTAGTCACGTATCACGTGAATGTAAATGGATGAACCCGGCAACCAAGCACGAATCACAAGTTGTTGTGAGTCAAGCATCAACTCGGTCTCCTGGCTCACCAAGACTCATGCAAGACTTGACTGCTCACTTTTCGAGCTCGTCTTGCGTACTTTGCTTTTTGCAGCTGGGCCGCTTAGCCTTTGCGCCCATGGTTGACGGCGTCGTCGAGAGCGGGCTCACTCCCATTCGGCCTCCCTTGCTTTCACTCCGCGCACGAAGCTGCCATTCTTGATATGTGTTGCCAAGCATGTATCCACGCCTCGGTGAACACCCATGCATGGACGATAGCCAGGAATGCGCCCGGGCTCGAGAAAAAGCCGCTGTTTCCAAGCAGTTGCCGTGAGCATTTACCATTCGTGATTCGGGTAGAAGCATGCGGCTCGAACCAGTTTATGCACATCAGATGGTCAAAGACAGGCTTCAACTGGGCTGAGCTCTCGATCACGATACCTCTGCGACGAATGCTGCCATCACTCCATGCAGCACATCGGTAGCGCGAGACGCATCGCGGTGATCACAAGGGGGGTATAACAAGGGGAGCCAACTGAGACCAGTGTCCTCCCTCTCTCACCGTCCGACAAAGCCATCTGCCAATCACAGCAGCTCTGTTACTTGCGTTCCTCTACACAGCAACGGCACACCGAGGAGCTTTGAGACTGCCAAGACTCACCGCAAGTTCATGTCTGACGCGGCTCTGTCGGCTTTCCATCCACGGGCATAGCTAGACCGCAGCTCTCACTGTCTGCGCCGAGGCGTACTTCGACCCGGACGAAACAAATGGTGTCTCAGGAGCTCTTGCTATATTGCGATCTCGCGCCGCAGCAACATATCATTATCATGTCTGATGGAATGCGAGCGTCATGTGGCTGAAACAGCTTGGCCCTAGTCGTCACAGGCCGCTCTTCGTATCAGCGAGTCAAGGCTGTGACAGCTGCACGTTCTCACGACTCGTGACTGCAATCGTGACTCACCGTACATCCATCCATCATCAGCAGCAGGGCGCTCTGATCGAGCGTACGGTCGTTGGAAAGCGCGGGTCAAGCCTCCACATGATCACGACCGCCCGCGCTTGAACTCTGCTTGCGGGGCGCACGCTGTTTACCGGCCGGTCCATCCAGCATGCAGATGCCGCGCACACCCTTTTTCTCCATTCGCGACTCACGAGTGGAGTGTAGCAGCATATGCAGCTGGATGGGTACCCCGCGTCGGCGGGTTTGCTCGAAGGACCCTCAGCACGGACTCGCACCCGCAGGCTGGTTGGTGTTCAGGGTGCTGCACTCAGATTGCTTCTCAGCCTCAATCGTCAGATGGGTCTCAACTGCTCCACAACCATTCTCTCGCTGTCGGAAGATGAGCCAACTGCTGTCACCACCTCGCGCTCTCGCCTCAACTGCTCGCCTACATAAACGTCACCTCATCGCCTCTCGGATCGATACACACCTGGCCCCCACACCTTTCAGCTCTGTGCGACTTCCTCTCCTCGATAACACAATCTCCTGCATTCGCGCTCGCACCTTTACATCATCGAATCTCACCAAGATGCCTTCCATGCCAAAAGGTATTCTCAAGACCGGTCAGACGGAGAAGATTGACCTGAAGAATGAAGCCCTCTTCAACACCAAGGGCTACATCGATGGTTCGTGGGTGTCTGCCAAGTCGGGAAAGACTTTTGAAGTCTTCAACAAGGCCACGCACGCCAAGTTGGCCGATGTGCCTGACATGGGCAAAGAGGACACCGCAGCCGCCATCCAAGCCGCCTCTGCAGCTTTTCCCGATTGGAGCTCCAAGACGGCCAAGGAGCGCTCGCAGCTGCTGACCAAACTCTTCTTGGCGCTAGAGGAGAATGCTTTGGACTTGGCTCACATCATCGTGGCTGAGAACGGCAAGTCTCTCACGGAAGCCAAAGGAGAGATTGGCTACTCCAACAGCTTCATCGACTGGTTCGCCGGAGAGGCTCAGCGCGCTTATGGTCACACTGTCGCTCCTACGTTACCCGGTGTCCGCCAGAACATCATCCTGCGCAAGCCTGTAGGTGTAGTTGGCCTGATCACGCCTTGGAATTTCCCCGCCGCAATGGTGAGTATGTATGCTCTTGATCAGTCGTTCTCAGCTAGTCCGTTTACCACGACATGCCTTGCCTGCGCTCTGCGTCACCTGTAGGTCACTCGCAAACTTGGTCCGGCGCTTGCAGCGGGCTGCACCATGGTCATCAAAGCACCAGCCGAGACGCCCTTCTCTTCGCTAGCTTTTGGTCACCTGTGTGAGAAGGTCGGCATTCCCAAGGGTGTGGTCAACATTGTGACTTGCGCCAAGGGAGAGACGGAGGCTGCGGTCGGCAAGGAGCTTTGCGAGAACGACATCGTCCGCAAGCTCAGCTTCACCGGGTCCACCCGCGTCGGCAAGCTGCTCATGAAACAAAGCGCCGACTCTCTCAAGAAGCTGAGCATGGAACTGTGAGTGCTCGGCTACCGCGACCATTGAAGCATGTTGCTGATCGATGAGAATCCTCTCTCAGCGGTGGCAATGCTCCTTTCATCGTCTTTGACGACGCAGATCTAGACAAGGCTGTTGTAAGTGCATAGTGTCTGTTGACGGAATCGACGTGAGAGTTTTGACCTGGACAGTCTCCCTTCTTCCTTCATCACAGGCTGGGGCAATGGCTTGCAAGTTTCGTGGCTCTGGACAGACCTGCATCTGCGCTAATCGCATCTGTGAGTCGGGTGCTCTAACCTTTGGCGTGCTCGTCGGCCTGTGAACTCACTTCGCTCTCTTGCTGAACACGACTATCGCAGATGTCCACGAGTCTGTATATTCCGAATTTGCCAAGCGATTCGCCGCCAAGGTTGATGAGCTCAAGTTTGGCTACGGCATGGATGAGGGCGTGACGCACGGTCCCCTTGTGAACCAAGCTGGAGTGGACAAGGTGCAACAGCACGTCGACAAGAGCGTTAGCGCTGGTGCCAAAGTGCTGGTCGGCGGCAAAAAGGGAGAGGGATTCTTCTTCGAAGCTACTGTGCTCACCGACATGCCCGAAAACTGCGTGAGCATGGCTCTGCTACATTCCTACACAAAGCATCCATAATACTGATGCTACCTTGCTCTTGCTTATCCAGCCTATGGATACCGAAGAGACCTTTGGACCACTCGCCGCCTTGTACAAGTTCACTAGCGAGGAAGATGTTATTAGGAAGTGCAACAACGTTCCCGTTGGTCTGGCAGGCTACTTCTACAGCCAAGACGTTTCTCGCTGCTGGCGTGTCGCGGACGCTCTTCAGACCGGGATGGTAGGCATCAACTGCCCTCTCATCTCTCAAGCTGTCGTACCTTTTGGAGGCATCAAGCACAGTGGCTTTGGTGTTGAAGGGGGAAAGGTGAGTAGGATGGCAGCATTCACGCCTGCTTGGCGTCAGTCGGCTGCTAGGCTCACATATTCTTTTCGTGTAACGCAGGATGGTATCAACGAATACTTGGTCAACAAGCTCACCGTCTGGGGCGCCTAGGGCGCCTAGACCTTTGCAATTCGCGCCTCTCACATAGTGAAATGTTCGCCCTGCTGTTGTGTGATTTCGACGTCATCTGACAAAAGCCTAGAGACGGCTCAGATCTGCTCCGAATGCCATCACGATGACGTGCTCCAACCTAGAAAGCGGATGCCGAGAGAAGCATTCATGATTTGATCAGGATCATCATTGATTCATGACGTGGCCGGGGTAGGTAAAGCAAGATTGGCAAAAGAGGCAGATTTGAAAAATTTAGGAGCCGAATACTTAGGCGAGCTTGGCTTCGGTAGCAGCAAGTTTCAAGACAGCAAAGGCATCGTCCACATCGCGTTCCTGCGTCCTCGGACAACCCAAAGCAATCCGGATGCAGAATCCAGCCCCAGGAATGGAGGTTTGGGTGAGCAAAAGCTCATGGTTGTGCTTTTCCAGAGCTGCCCAGAGAGCGCGGGTGCGCGAATCGGCATCAGCGTCGGAAGAGGCGGGTTTGAGACGAACGACGAGGAGGGCAAAGTTGAATTCGACTAGCTGCCAGGGGTCGCCTTCGTCTTCGATGAGCCTCTTGAAACGTTCGGCTAGCACAATGCTGAGGACGAGAAGTTTGTCAAGGGTGCCAATGTCAGTGTGCCACCCTTGATTTCCATGAACAATGCGCGGTGTCCTGACTTACTCGTCACGCAAGTGCTGACGCAAGCCTTCAATGCCATGACTTCGAAGCACGAACCATACCTTCAAAGAGCGGAAACGTCGGCCAAGAGAGATTTGATAATTCCTTAGATCAAGCACAGAAGGATCTGTGTCGCGGGAGAGTGACGGGCAGAGTAAATGTCCGAACAAAGAAGCACAGTGCGCGGATTGATTGATTGATTTTTTTTTTTTTTTTATTTTTTTTTTTTGCGTGCTCACCATTGGCAGCAGCGGTCGTCTTGAGGTACTCGGGCGTGACCGTGAGCGATGCGGCGAGCTGGGCTCTGTCCTTGACCCAGAGTGGAGAGCAATCGAAATTGACAAGACCCCATTTGTGCATGTTGAGAGATATGCTGTCAAACTTGGCGTTGAGGGCGCTCAATTCCTTCTGATACTTCGTCTGGATCTCTGGTAGGCAGAGGGCAGGGCCTGCGTATGCGGCGTCGACGTGCAGCCATATTGGGGGCAGCGACTCGCGACGCGCCCCCTCGTCGGTGCCGTCACCCTTTACGCCATTCGTTGAGCCATCGAGAAGGTCATGTATGCCCACATTCGCACCAGCAACTTTGGCGGGCATCATTGCCGCCGAGGCAATTTCGTCTAGCGCGTCGACAGCACTCGAAGATGTGGTTCCGATTGTTGCGCAAACCATGAATGGTACCAAGCCGGCGCGCACGTCGTCCTTGAGTGCGGCTGCCAGAGTGTCGCCCCTCAAGGCCAGACGATTTTGGAGCGTGACGGGCAGTGCCCGAAAACGTAGACCCAGAATCTGCGCGGCTTTGCTGCCCACACTGTGCGTCTAGAGCAGATATCAATCAATACATCTCAGCTTCCTGGCTGAAGTTTGTCGGCTCATCAGCTCTTCGTGTGTATGACTCACCTCTGTAGAGCCGTACATCACGAGCTTGCCCGTAGCTTCCGCCGCCCACTCTCTTGAGGGCTCGATTTGACCTGAGACGGCGGTCAAATGTCGAAGAGCGCGATCTCGCGCAGCGATCGCCACGGTCAATGTAGCTTCAGCGCGGAATGCATGGGGCATATCATTAGCTGCGAATGAGCTACATCTGTGATCGGATGCGCGCTCACCTTCGGAGGCGGAGCCAAAGATCAATCCACCCTTGCCACGGCGTGAATTTGAGTTGCAATCAGCCAGTCGAGGGAAATGCTGTGGAATCTGCGAAAACTCACGCCCTTGCTTTGAGGCCCGCCTCTTTGCTTGAAAGCAGGATCAAGATGGAAAGCCTCAGCCATCCAATCCACCATTTTCAGCTCCAGCTCAGTCACACTTGGGCTGCAAATCCAATTGAAGCCCGGATTCGTCAGGGCTGCGGCCCACATATCGCCCAGAATGCCCTCGAAGGATACGTTAGCCGGATAGTAAGCCATGAACTTTGGATGCTGCCATTGCGTCATGCCAGGCATGACCAGCGAGTGAAAGTCTTCGTTGATGCTTGACCAATCTTGTCCAGAAGATGGGGCCGTGTCTGACATGGTGACAGTAGTTCGACGTCCGACGGAAGGCGTGAGCACAAACGCTTCCAAGGGCACGGTGCAACGCGACTCACCTGGCAGAGCATCGGTGAGGAAACCGGGCTTAACTTGAGCTGTGACGGGTTTGTCCCTCATGGAAAGATAATGATCGCAAATCTCGTCTACTGCAGCATGCGCAGCTCGTCTAAAGCTAAGACCACATCTCGTCTCAGCCGTGCGTCAGGCTGGTCTCCTTCTGCATTGCGTGGCGACATACTGGCACACTCACCTTTCTACGTCCATGATGACCGTGGATGAGAATAGTAAGGTTGCTCGGTTGTCTGAACAGGCGAAAGGTTGTTCAAATCATTCAGATCTTGTCAACTGATGATAGGAGGTGCAAAGAGATGGCCAGGACCACGCACGGTCGCTCAAAT